GACTGTTATGTTACTAATGTATTAACTATGTTACTGTTGTAACTAATTAGTTGATATTGTAACTATTATGTTACTTATGTAACAACTATGTTGCTATTGTTAGTAATTAGTTTCTATTGTAACTGTTATGTGACTTATGTAACAATTATGTTGCTATTGGTATTAATAGTTTACTACTGAAAATAGTTCGCTACTGTATCATGTTCATGCTAATATTGTATTGTCTCAATATTGTGTTAATTCTTTGCTAGAAACATGGTTGAGGTAACATTACAGATCATGATTTGAGCTCAACATACGGCGAAAACATAAAAATAAAACAAAATGAAGAGAACAGCACATTAACATAGACAATGGTATTACGAAATGTATAGTTGGTATGTATACCCGCAGCATTATAAGGGGGGTTCAGGTCACTGAAATCGATGTGGTATCCAGCCGTTCAATGCGGGACATTTACAAAATATAACGTTTTTATTTGAAAAATAACAGAAATATGAAAGAGAAGTCTGGAACGAAGGCCACGTTCAGCGACAGACGGTAAACGAGCAAGTATGGTGGCTGATTAGTGCCATGTTCTCTTTTTCGCGGTCGAAAGCGAAAAAGCGCCAAAATAACGCGAAAAAGCGCCGAAGCTTAAAGCGAAAAATCGAAGTTTTAGCCATGTCGCATTCGCTTTTTTTGCGTGCATTTTGTCGCTTTTTTCGCTTTTTCGTGTTTAAAAAACCGCGAAAACGCGAAAAATAGGTGTTTTATTTTCGCTTTTTCGCATTTTTGACCGCGACAAAGGGAAAATGTCACCAATCAGCCACCATAGGTATGCCCACTGATTGACGCGGCAGGCGTTTTTGCCATTATCGTCCGATTTCTCAGTGTTTTCGTTGTTTTGTTATTTCGCTACGAAAAACAAGTTTAGTGGTATACACAGACGATTAACCAATCAGAAAGCTTGAAATGTGCGTCATTATAACGTCAAAATCTCCAACGTCATGAAATGAGGACCCATTCACAATGCTTTTAATTCACAAGGTATTTAATGGTTTTCCGTTGAACACCACCTAATATTTCACAAGTTTCGCAGATTACGGATTTACTCAACTGTACCGTTTCTGCTATTATTTCTTAAGATTTGCTTACAGAAATGGTATCATTTGTGTAGATAAATAAATACTTTAGTATATGTGACAAATGCCAAACAACCACTTATCCCAACGTCGCTTCATCTGTATATGTCCTGAAGCCAATAGGAATAGGCACTAGTGCCATTCTGATAGTCTATTCCAAAAGTGATATACATTGTATTTCTACTTTCTGATGAGCATTTATTTTGCATGAAGATGCCTTAAGAAAAGACCTACATAAATTGCTGTATTTGAATAAAAAGCGTTTGACCCCATGATAGATATTTGGGATCAAATGAAGGGCAGAGTAATAACATATATTTCGTTTCTCTGTTCCAATATCCATTCAAAACATTTTAGTCAAGATCATTTATTCAGAAAGTAACATCCATTAAAAATAATTAAATCAAGAATAAGTTGTTTTTAATTTAAGGGCATATAATGTTCCTTTGCCCTGACAGAAGTGAGTTGGTAATAGGGCCTAAACTGTTCCTTTATCCTGACAGAAGTGAGTTGGTAATATGGCCTATTATGTTCCTTTGTCCTGACAGAGGTGAGTTGGTAATAGGGCTTATAATGTTCCTTTGTCCTGACAGCAGTGAGTTGGTAATAGGGCATATAATGTTCCTTTGCCCTGACAGAAGTGAGTTGGTAATAGGGCATATCATGTTCCTTTGTCCTGACAGATGTGAGTTGGTAATAGGGCCTAAACTGTTCCTTTGTCCTGACAGCAGTGAGTTGGTAATAGGGCATATAATGTTACTTTGTCCTGACAGAAGTGAGTTTGTAATAGGGCCTATCCTGTTCCTTTGTCCTGACAGAAGTGGGTTGGTAATAGGGCCTAAACTGTTCCTTTATCCTGACAGAAGTGAGTTGGTAATATGGCCTATACTGTTCCTTTGTCCTGACAGCAGTGAGTTGGTAATAGGGCATATCATGTTCCTTTGTCCTGACAGACGTGAGTTGGTAATAGGGCGTATATATAATGTTCCTTTGTCCTGACAGCAGTGAGTTGGTAATAGGGCATATCATGTTCCTTTGTCCTGACAGAAGTGGGTTGGTAATAGGGCCTAAACTGTTCCTTTGTCCTGACAGGAGTGAGTTGGTAATAGGGCCTATACTGTTCCGTTGTCCTGACAGAAGTGAGTTGGGATGTAGTTTGCTGAATATGACTCTGTTGGTCAGGGAGTTTTACGGCTGGCTTTTCACCAGAGACTCTAGACACTAAAGTACATGGACTGTCATTTCTGAAAACTCTTTCCTCGTTTTTCAAATTAGCTGAGGTTCTAATACAAAAAAGTCAAACAAGAAGAGACAATGTCTGTGCATGTTGGAAGGATCAATATATAATAGGGCCTATAATGTTCCTTTGTCGTGACAGAAGTGAGTTGGGATGTAGTTTGCTGAATATGACTCTATTGGTCAGGTAGTTTTACGGCTGGCTTTTCACCAGAGACTCTAGACACTAAAGTACATGGACTGTCATTTCTGAAAACTCTTTCCTCGTTTTTCAAATTAGCTGAGGTTCTAATACAAAAAAGTCAAACAAGAAGAGACAATGTCTGTGCATGTTGGAAGGATCAATATATAATAGGGCCTATAATGTTCCATGAAGATGCCTTAAGAAAAGACCTACATAAATTGCTGTATTTGAATAAAAAGCGTTTGACCCCATGATAGATATTTGGGATCAAATGAAGGGCAGAGTAATAACATATATTTCGTTTCTCTGTTCCAATATCCATTCAAAACATTTTAGTCAAAATCATTTATTCAGAAAGTAACATCCATTAAAAATAATTAAATCAAGAATAAGTTGTTTTTAATTCACATAAAGTTAACCCTCATTTTGGCCATAAAACTTTGTTAAAATGTCAATGAAAAGAGAATAATAAATGTACGTTGTGCTTTCCCTATGAACTGAATAGTAATCAATATATAATAGGGCCTATAATGTTCCTTCGTCCTGACAGAAGTGAGTTGGTAATATGGCCTATTATGTTCCTTTGTCCTGACAGAGGTGAGTTGGTAATAGGGCTTATACTGTTCCTTTGTAATGACAGAAGTGAGTTGGTAATAGAGCCTATACTGTTCCTTTGTCCTGACAGCAGTGAGTTGGTAATAGGGCATTTAATGTTCCTTTGTCCTGACAGCAGTGAGTTGGTAATAGGGCATTTAATGTTCCTTTGTCCTGACAGAGGTGAGTTGGTAATAGGGCTTATAATGTTCCTTTGTCCTGACAGCAGTGAGTTGGTAATAGGGCATATAATGTTACTTTGTCCTGACAGAAGTGAGTTGCTAATAGGGCTTGTACTGTTCCTTTGTCCTGACAGAAGGGAGTTGGTAATAGGGCATATAATGTTACTTTGTCCTGACAGAAGTGAGTTGCTAATAGGGCTTGTACTGTTCCTTTGTCCTGACAGAAGTGAGTTGGGATGTAGTTTGCTGAATATGACTCTATTGGTCAGGTAGTTTTACGGCTGTCTTTTCACAAGAGACTCTAGACACTAAAGTACATGTACTGTCATTTCTGAAAACTCTTTCCTCGTTTTTCAAATTAGCTGAGGTTCTAATACAAAAAGGTCAAACAAGAAGAGACAATGTCTGTGCATGTTGGAAGGGGCGATATAAAGTCTCATTAAATTAATTCTCCTTCCGCGGACATTATCTCCGTTTCCTCCAAAAACACACGCAATTTCAGAGCAATTATTCGTATGACACCGTTTACCTCACCATCACAGTTACTCAAGCCACTCTACATATATCGTATTCCTTGTGTATTTTTGTATTCATATTGGTGATTAAACTACATTGTCTCAATCTATTAAAAGGTGTTTTATCCATATAGCCTTATAAGTTGAACAACGTCATTTATTTCATTAAACCATATAAAACTTTCCTTGAAAATAGTTATTTATTTGAACATGCTTTCATTCAGGTCTTGTGATAATAAAGACGATGTCGGTTAAAAGGACTGATTGACGCCTGAAGGACCACCTGTCTAATACATACACTAGTGAGATAAAGTCAACAAGAGGACCTTTCCTAGATATAACTACTGAAATGTTCTACTCCAGTGTTTAGATTCTCCCTTATGACTTACCTGCAGAAATCAGATTGTATCAAACAATACCTCTAATATACAATTTATCTCGCGTACTGGTAAACCAGTTTTGTACGGTATAACCGAAAACGCGCACATTTGCTACAAATCAATGCATATTCAACCTTATCAGACAATCAACGGCGATGCCATTACTTACACAAACACTACACCTCACGTAATGTTGATTGACTCCAATGAACATACTTGTCCGAGCTTTTCCCCACTGATTTGTTAACACGTTGTTTGTTATGTACTTATTGCCGGTCCTTCCTTTGACTGTTAAAAGTAATTCATTTTAAAGGCCAGGATGATTCTGCTCAATTAGGCTTTGCCCTAAATTAATAGATTGCAATAAAGTGATAGCAAGTCGTATATTCGTTTTAAGTCACCTTTTTTTCAATAGTCATACAGTCACATAGGATCTGTTGGATGAGACAGTCACGAGTGCTGGCCCATCAGTAAGTGTTTGAGGAGAAACAAGGTGACCCATCAGTAAGTGTTTGAGGAGAAACAAGGTGACCCATCAGTAAGTGTATGAGGAGAAACAAGGTGACCCATCAGTAAGTGTATGAGGAGAAACAAGGTGACCCATCAGTATCATGTTAATGCTGCGTGCTATCATCGTGTTACTTTTATGTTCAAATGTAACTGGGAAGTCATATCAGAATTTAACACGTTTAAAACTTAACCTTTTACAGAACTATACAAAGTCTAATCGTCCGCTTCGAAATCAAAATGATCAGCTGTTGGTACGTGTAAGCGTATATTTCCATATGTTAAAAGAGTTTAATATCGTGGAGAGTGTTTTAGGAACACACCTTTTCTTCACGCTGCAGTGGACGGATGAGTACATACGTTGGGACAGTGAAGAATACGACAACATCACAGTGGTAAACCTCCCCCTCCTCGACGTGTGGGTTCCGCCCATGGTACTGATGAACCCAGCCGGCAGCTTCGGCTTCCTAAGCAAAGAGAAAGACATGCTTCTTGTTCAGTATTCTTCGAAAGGCTTGGCATCATTGGTCTTCGCTGCCTATCTCGAGAGCACGTGCAAACCATTTATCAAATATTTTCCATTCGACTCTCACACTTGTCACCTGATGATAAGCCATCTAGGCTACAGTATGGGCGAAGTGACCTCCGCCCCGTCACATGTTTATGTGAATAATTTTGTGGATAACGGACAATGGATTGTGGACGAATTGAACCTCACAGAGAAATGGTTAATTCCTGGAGTTAACGAATCTCAGTATGTTGATTTATCCATACAGTTGTCACGTCGACCAGAATTTTTACTTCTAAATCTGTTCATCCCCATTGCCTTCCTGATCTGTATGAATTTGTTTGTGTTTTTCCTTCCAGCTGAGTGTGGGGAGAAGGCAAGCTACTCCATCACTGTACTTCTGTCTCTGGCAATCTTCATGACTATCGTCATGGATCAGTTACCTCCATTGTCCTCAGATGTTCCCGTTGTAAGCATTATTCTCTGTATGCATCTCGCCAATAACGTCATAGTATGCACGTGTACTATTCTATCCCTGAACTACCACCATCGAAGTGACACCAGGGACATACCTTGCCATCTCCGACTTTTAACCATGTTGGTGACTTGGCGAACATACAAGAGTAATTGCAACAAAATAGGAGACGTCCCAAAGAGAACAGCAAAAGAAAACATGTCCCCAGGGGCTGACGAGAAGAATAGCAACATAACAGAGACGGATGATATCACACACCGCGCTGATGTGTCGGAGGACATTGACCGGCGTCATATACTGACCTGGCAGAAAGTGAGTCACGCGATTGACAGGTGGAATTTCTTCATCTGTATCATGATGACAATACTTGAGAGTGGCCTTGTCTTTTACCATTCATTTCAAGACATGTAATCCTGTGTTCACTCAGCCACTCTCATCTTGTTCTTCAGGGGGAAACCTTGTTAAAGTGTAACATTAAACATGAAATATATATGCGGAATTTAGTGAATGACCAATTAGATGCGAAGTGGAGTGATTTCCTGCAAACTGAATGTCAAACTTCATTGTATATTTCGGAGCATCTGGATGGGCCTATTTAATATGATTATTGGAATAGCCATCTTTTATGTACAACATATGGATCGGTGTTATATCATTTGAGTTAATGGAAATATGATAGCTTTGATTTTGTGCAACTGTTGTAGGTTTGCTATATGTAATGTGGAACAACGTGTGTTTTCTTTTCGACAGGCTTGCTATTTGTTATAAGTGAAGTGCGTCTGATACCTGTGATGTATATATCTGATATGCCACGCGTATGCCTTTATTTTTAAATCCACTCATGAGATCCGTTTTCTTCCATGGACCAAATTTTAGTCTATATGATCTTTTCTCGAACTTGATGTATGACGTGTTATGATTCATATCCTTTGAATGACGTGTTTGTATTGAATATACTTTGTATGATGTGTTGTGATTAATATCGTTTGAATGGCGTGTTTGTATTGAATATACTTTGTATGATGTGTTGTGATCAATATCGTTTGCATGATATATTGTGATTTATATCCTTTGTATAATGTGTTGTGATAAATATCCTTTGTATGACGTATTGTCATCAATATCCGTTGTATGACGTGTTGTCATCAATATCCTTTGTATGACGTATTGCCATCAATATCCTTTGTATGACGTGTTGTCATCAATATCCTTTGTATGACGTATTGCCATCAATATCCTTTGTATGATGTGTAGTCATTGATATTCTTTGTATGACGTGTTGTCATTGATATTCTTTGTATGACGTGTTGTCATCAATATCCTTTGTATGACGTGTTGTCATCAATATCCTTTGTATGACGTATTGCCATCAATATCCTTTGTATGATGTGTAGTCATTGATATTCTTTGTATGACGTGTTGTCATCAATATTCTTTGTATGACGTGTTGTCATCAATATCCTTTGTATGACGTGTCGTCATCAATATCCTTTGTATGACGTGTTGTCATCAATATCCTTTGTCTGATGTGTTGTCATCAATATCCTTTGTCTGACGTGTTGGTCATCAATATCCTTTGTATGATGTGTTGCCATCAATATCCTTTGTATGATGTGTTGTGATCATTTGTATGACGTGTTGTGATCAATATCCTTTGTATGACGTGTTGTCATCAATATCCTTTGTCTGGCGTGTTGTCAGCAATATCCTTTGTATGATGTGTTGTGATCATTTGTATGACGTGTTGTGATCAATATCCTTTGTATGACGTGTTGTCATCAATATCCTTTGTATGACGTGTTGTCATCAATATCCGTTGTATGACGTGTTGTCATTAATATCCTTTGTCTGACGTGTTGTCATCAATATCCTTTGTATGACGTGTTGTCATCAATATCCTTTGTCTGACGTGTTGTCATCAATATCCTTTGTCTGACGTATTGGTCATCAATATCCTTTGTATGATGTGTTGCCATCAATATCCTTTGTATGACGTGTTGTGATCAATATCATTTGTATGACGTGTTGTGATCAATATCCTTTGTATGACGTGTTGTCATCAATATCCTTTGTGTGACGTGTTGTCATTTATATCCTTTGTCTGACGTGTTGTCATTAATATCCTTTGCATAATGTGTTGTCATCAATATCCTTTGTGTGACGTGTTGTCATCAATATCCTTTGTATGACGTATTGTCATAAATATCCTTTGTATGACATGTTGTCATCAATATCCTTTGTATGACGTGTTGTCATCAATATCCTTTGTATGACGTGTTGTCATCAATATCCTTTGTATGATGTGTTGTCATCAATATCCTTTGTATGAAGTGTTGTCATCAATATCCTTTGTATGACGTATTGGCATTAATATCCTTTGTATGACGTGTTGTCATCAATATCCTTTGTATGACGTGTTGTCATCAATATTCTTTGTATGATGTGTTGTGATCAATATCCTTTTGTATGACGTGTTGTCATCAATATCCTTTGTATGACGTGTTGTCATCAATATCCTTTGTATGACGTGTTGTCATCAATATCCTTTATATGACGTGTTGTCATCAATAACCTTTGTATGATGTGTTGTCATCAATATCCTTTGTATGATGTGTTGTCATCAATATCCTTT